AGGCTAATTCAAATCGGAGCAAACAAAGTGGGGCAGTTCGCATACCGTGCAGTCAAAGCTTTTCGCATAGTATGCACCTCGAACGCGCCGTGTGTTTCGTTGAGGATTTTTGGCGCTTGTGAGAGGCAGATTGGATGACTGAAGTTTACTGGTTGTTGAGTGAGGGAGAAGGCGGCAAAAACCAGGGTACCTGTTTATGTAGTCGTCTTCAGATTAACTTTAGGATCGCTGTTAGTTTATGATCGATATGGATCAATAATTCAGTCGTATTCCAGCAACAAGGAGGAAAAGGACTTCGTGACGATATGGCGTCGGATGCGATTAGTGCGCTGTTCCCGTGGATGAATCAGAACGCGGCGGACTTGGAATTCGTGAAGGATGATCAGCCGACGGATCTCAGCTGCAAGGATAAACTGGTAGGGGTTTCATTTCTCTGTATGAAAGGGCTGAGCGATTATCAGATTTGGGTTGGGAAATGGGAGGAGCAGGGATAGTAATCATCAGAGAAACCCGTCCATCCACGGGTAACTGTCGCAAGACTGATGCTCATGTCTTGCTATTGTTCCCGATACTACCTTGCGTGATGTTTTCGAAGATTAACACTGAAAAGAGGCGTGATGCAAGATAAAACAAAACGGCGATAAATCCCAAATAACTCTGCGAACTGATATCTGAAAAAGTTCATTGTAATTACTATGTAAATAAAAGAAGTAATTGCAATCAAACAGTGAACCTAGAGAAAATTGATGGTAGGTATAAACAGTTAAAGAGCATAACGGCAAAATGCTACAGTATGGAACGTCCCGTCAGAAACGCTAGGGAGAAGAGGCGTTTGGCGGTTCAAGGGACAATCTCAAACCTTGAGCCACGTTTAGGCCTTTGAGGAAGACGATCTCGTCGAAACGTCAGGCCACTAATAAAAGTCTCCACCTAACAACCTCGTTGGCAGAAGAATAACATCACAATAGCTACAGTATGGATTTTGTTCTAGTCGCTTGGCTGATGATATATTTAATAGACACCAGCACAATCCTTCAGAGCCTTACAGCAGGACTTACATAAAAAGCTTTTTTGTCGCAGTTCAAAAAGCACTTTCACAAAAGAGAGCTTCTTAGGTAAGTTGCTTGCTGGATTAGATGTTAAGGCAGGCCACTTCAGGGGCCGTATCCTATCCATCCCCAGGCTAGGTAAACTAAAAATCCCTTTAAATTTTCTGTGTCTTCCTAGCGAAAATCGCCTCGAGAAAGTGCATATTCGAAATGTATATATGTGTGTAAAACCAAACTTGTGCGGGAAGTAAGGAAACTTTATCGTTGAAAACAACATAAAGTTTGAAGGACTGTTATATTCCCCTAGCCTGAGAGAAGGATAGGATAACGGCCCGAGGTGTTGCTAGTCGGCCTCCTAGCGTCATGCACTCTTTCTATGGTCAGAATAGAAAGAAGTATTGAATGTGTCCATGGCTTAACAAAAACACCCGTATCATTTCCTGTTCATTTATGAGTCACGCACTGTATCCTACCATCCCCACGCCTTAATACCTATGTGTTGATTCCATGATGTCTAGGATATAAGCAGTTAACTGAAACGATTGCTCATCAGCATACCTGAATGAAGCAGTCTAATGAACTAGTAGTTTTCTTTTTGGAACTGTAGTGAAGACTTCCATCTTTGTAACGTAGCTGAAATGAGCAAAATACGCAAAAAGAAACACCAGTTAAAAACACCCCCCTTCCCCCCCCCATTCCAAGAAAAAAATCCGCCAAATAAGGCCCTTTTGACTCAAACCAATCATGATTACCCCACAATTAGGTGGAAGGGGAAACGGAGAAAGCAGTAGTACGTAAGTGACGCATTCTTCTGCTCAACTTTTTTTTTTCATCTTTTTTAGCCCAATCTTTTACCATTCAAGCGGAAATATTGGCAATCACAATTTATTAGAACTAACTTAGAGGCGCCAGCGGTGTATTGAACCAAAAACATTACGAAACGTCTAAACCCAAAAAATCACAGCCGTTAGCGCTTCTTCTGCAGAACGTCTAAAGACCTGCTGGCGAATTGGTTAACAACAGGTAGCGTGGCGCCCCGTAGCCGGCGCCAGAGGCCATTGCTCTGTTCGCCAAGGGCATTCCACGCGGTGAATTTCGTCTTCTGGCGCCTCAGGGTTAGCTGTCTTTCGCACTGCAATAATTTCGCCCTTTCCAACTTCATCGCACCCTTGACGTAGAATAACCTTCTTTATGATGTCGGAAAGCTGTTCGAGTATAATGAGATGTGCTACAGGAATTGATCTCCGGGCGATGATACGGTCGCACCACAATTCACTTCCACCTAACTTTCTCCCCAATGAGCGAAAGACGCGACAAGATGATGTTGGCGTAGTGTTTCCATTGAAATCGAGTCAGCGAAATCTTAATTCGGTGCTTTCGAATCGTCTATCGCCTTAACCTATAACTAGTTGTCATCGACGGTGAAAACTCGGCCAATCCTCGCCGGAACTTCGTCGTAGGCAATGCGGCGGTGGCGGTGTCGTCGACAATCTCTTCGTTGCAACCAAACAAAAAAAAAACATCATAATCGTGTATCTATAATCTCCTCAGCAACTACTACGACGTATGGAACGTTTACTCACAGCATCTCCACCCACTGTAGCCGATACTTTCCGTCCAGAAATTTCTCTTTAATCACATATCGTGATCATTTTCGCTTTAGTTGGAACACTGTTTGCGTTTTCCGCTTCTTCGAAAAGCGACCCGTTTTTTGGCATATGAGGCAAAACAGCGATTCAACTTTGTCATGCTTCTTCCCCAACCAGTAGTAATCAAATTTTTTGCTTCTATTTCGTTGCGTCTTAGTATTCCTGCAGCTTCTCCGATCATCGAAAAAAAAACAAGGAGGTGAAGGATATGTCTATCAGAACATAGAGCAAACACTTGCCATCAATATAACAAAATTTTATTCAAAGATGTAAATCCAGTATTTGTTGATAAGTATTGGTTCACTTCAATGATTCCATTTACACTTTTCAGAAAATGGAACTAACAGACACATCCGACGACATTGATCAATTGGACGTTGAGACAGCCGAAGATCAGGTGAGCAATACACAAGTCGATGGATCGATAATCGATTTTCAGATAATCGTATAACTTCGTATAATGCTTTGGCGACAGCTAAAAACTGCTTATATTAAGGCGGAATACTTATTCTTACTAGCAGTCTATTAAGGGTTTAGTCTTTCCCGTTAGTGGTTTAATATTCAAACTCCTAATTAAGTATTTGTTCATAGTTCCGTGTAAGACTATCAGCTTCTCTTCATAGCTCTGGTTTTCTGGAGCTCCCATATGAAGATAGGAACGTGATTCTGGGTTGGCTTATTTGAGTAGCAAGGATCACGATAGCTGGAGGACGCTGCTCTTTTGATAATACCATTGGCGTCATTGGTCGGTGGGCGGTCCATCCACCAACTCTACCAGCGCACAGAATGTCAACCGAATGGTGGCGTGACGTTATAAAAACCATAGCATCCACCGACCATTGTTAATCACTTGCCTTCAAGTATTGATAGTTTTTGCTCGATTTATGTGTGTCCGAAAGCGTGGTAAGGATGTACTTTCTAGGAAACGGAACTGGTTAGGGACGACGTCGCAGCAACCGAGCCACGATTGAGCAATGAAAGCGCCAACTCAACGGCGTCCACGTCGTCTTCGTCGAAGCGAAAGTCGTTCCAACCACAGAAGAACATCGAAGATATTGAACATCCAGATGAGGAAGATGATGATGAGGTCCCTTCGCATGAGATTCACACCGGCGACGACAGTTTAGCCAAAAACGACGACAAACCAGAGCCGGAGAACAGTCGGCAGTTCGACGGTCTTAGCGCCCTCCAATCGCAATTGAGTCAACCGAACTTGAAATTTCATGAAATGTTCGAAACACAACGGAAACTCTACAATAACATTATCGAACAGCAAAAGAAATTCTTTCCGCCACCACCGCCTCACCAGCAAGCGTCAGTGGAAATTGTGAGTATTCGAGTTGCCGTTGCTATTTTTTAAAAACCCTAGCATTCAACTGAATCTTGTTTAGGCGCCTGAAAAGGCTCGAGCCAGAGACTTTACGCAGCTGGCACAAACACTCAAGAACGAAATCATCGACTCGCTGTCTGGATCGATCGATAAGAGTTCGATATTGTCCTTTTGAAATAGGACCCCCTGGAAGTGAATAGTACAATATGGTAAGTCCATTTTCGCGTCTGCAGCCCAGTACCCATTGGTCTGAACAAAGGCGTCCATACTCTGGCGAGTAGCGTCCCGTGCTCCATTAGCTGTGAGCTGTGTGAGCTGCAGGCTGATGTAGCTGTTTTTCCACTTTTGGTTTTCGTATGATAGGCATTTGTCCTAGAAATTACTTTACGCTTATGTCCCTTCTTTTTCAGGTCCTGAAGGGCAATGAAGGAATGGGCAGCTAACGAGATGGCTCGCCTTCAACAAGAAGCGGCTCGACCAGCCATGCCGCCGATGTTCAACACGTTGTTCCCGGCGCCAAATCCGCTGGCGGCACATTTTGGCCTCAATCCGCACAGTAAGTAGCGTTATATAGCCGAAAAGAAGCCAACCGTGCAATCGTACTCATTAAACGCTAGCCCAAATGTATCAGCGGATATGAAGTGATGTTGCGTCATATCGAGCTTAAAACATAGTCATAAGTCCTAACAGTCATAAGTTACCCAACGCCCACAGACTTCAAGGCAGAGAACCAATAGTATCAAGATTAAGCATACGCTTGTGACTCATCGATAGCTCTCCGATTACTGCCTCTGAAATTAGTCCTTAGCTTTGGTAATATTGTTCCCTTTTTATCCCAGTTTGGCTTGTTTAGGAGTAGGTAATGTGACAATAGGGAGCACAGAAAGGCTTTGAACCAAAACCCCAGTTCATATTGGTGGGGTACAGCGACTGATATGGTGGGAAAGACGTGTCTAGGCATGCTTTTGAGCGCAACCGCATCAATGCGATAGGTTATCCATTATCTACCTATCGGCTATCTTATCTACGTCGTAATCCACGTCATGTGAGGGCGAGCGCGAGGTATCTCGTCCATAAGTTCACATTAGTCGCCATAGATCACTTTGTAAGGCCCTAGCGCCATTGTCGCGCACTTTCGAGCCGCGACAACGGCACATCTGTGATACTCGTGGGCTACTCTATCCCACCCACAGAACAGATTCTTCGACGCGACTCATCTGGGGTTATTGTTTTGTAAGAAGACTTTATATTATATTTGGCAAAGACGATGGTCATTTGTCCTTATTTAAAGCCCTTTGTTGCAGAATAATGCTGTGCCTGTACATTGAGGGATTTATATGACGCCAGTTCCTACTCATAGCACCATTTCTAACCCATATTTCAGTGCAACCTGCGGGCATTTTTCCGACTCCAATGAACGCTTTCAATTCGTTGGCGGCTTTGAATCAAATGCGCAGACCATTCGAGGATGACGGTCCGAAGAAGAAAAGGAGCAAAGTATGCGATCAGATGACTTCAATAAATCTTGACAGCAAATCTATGCGATCTATTCAGGTGACTGATAGCGTCCGAAAGATGAACGGTACGCCAATGGCACGTGAAGGGTCGCCAAGTAGCACGAGAAGCAGTCCTGTGGTGAGCAATGTTTCTTCTGGAGGAGCACCAAATTAAACACTTTCTTTCAGCTTTCACATTCCACGCCGCTGTCCAACTACTTTCCTCCGACAATGGTTGGACATCCTTTGTACGGTGGCGCGTCATTCGGTGAGCGTGAAGGCAGTCCGACGAACTCGGACGAGACAAGCGAGTGCGGTGTTTACGATAACGGCCAGAGGTGAGCAGTGTGAGGACATTCCACGTCCACATTCTTTTCGGTTCAGGATCAGAGTCTATTAAATTGAAGTAGGTATCTAGAAGATGAGGGTATTTTTGTCGTTCCAGTTCGACATTGACGCCGGTTCATCTTCGGAAAGCCAAGCTGATGTTCTTCTACACACGCTATCCCAACTCAACGCTGCTTGAAGTCCTACTTCCCAGACGTTCGATTCAATAAGAACAACACGGCGCAGTTAGTCTAAGTGTTCAGCCATAATTTTAGCAGTGTGTTTTCGATTTTTTCTTTCCTCAAAGCTTAGGGGAAGTCTTGCGAACGTTAGTCCAAATACGGAAGGTGGCCATTTGATCGGTGTGGCCAGCCAGAGCTCGCGACAAAGTTACTGGTCGGGCCCAATAAACTAAATCTTTATAATAACTTAAAACTACGTAAGGTTATCGCTGGTGGAGATATCGGTTGCATCACCTGTATCACCTGTCGTCCCGTTGATCATCGAATTGCTCGAGCGGGCGCCAGCAACGTCTCCATTCGTCCCTGTCGCGTGCAAGAGTGGTCCAGTGGATCCTCCTCGCTCGAGGGACACGAAGCCTTTCATTCCTTTCGTTCAGAGCTTTCGCATCAGAAAATAAAAATCGTTGACTTAGATATCTATTACCTTTCTCAAGTCAATGCGCAAGCCAGCTAGGGCTATTGAATTCTGCTGATTTTCAGATAGCGCTACTCGCTAAGAAACTGACCATGCTGTCTATCTGCGGTCAGTTTTTAGAGGAAAGGATGGTTTGCACCATCGCTGAAGCAAATCTTCTTTGTTTTCAAATAACGAGCTCTTTCACCAGTGAAGGAAGCTTAGGGGAGCGGAATGAATCAAGATAAAAACCGAACGACGACCCGGTCAATCGTGCAGTGGACAGAGAGTCAACAAGGGGTGAGGCGCGGTCGTGAGTTTGGGGTGTGGAAAGAGGGTGGGGGTATATTTCGCTAGTCAGCGGTTAATTGTCACGGGTAGGCGGACAGGACGATTTTTTTAATGGCAAGGGAGCAGTTAACCGCCTGAGGGGGTAGCGAGGCTTTAGATGGGGGGATCGTAAAATTCGAAAGTGTCCAACGTGACGGTTGACCTGCCCGACGACTTGTCACACCAACACCACTTCTTATTGCGGTACACTAGGAGCTCTGTTTTTCCTACTTGAATGTTAAACAAGAAGCGGCAAAATCTTGAAGAGACCGTTCTACTTATTGATTTTGAGGGATAAATTTATGAATGGGCACGTCGACGGTGTGCTCAGCTGATTCACAAGCGATAAGAGGCATATCATGAGCGATTTTTCTTGCCAATTAGCATGCTTAAGTGTGCAATGCGCGGGTGTTGTCGTTCACGCCTTATTGGTGTCCGTTCGTTATTGAGGTGGTATCCCGCTGAGAAAATGGCGTACGCTCGTGCGATTGACAGCCCGATAAGGCGCGACGAGAGTTTCTGAGATTTATGAAGACGTGGCTTCAATGGCTGTCATCATCACAGTAGAATTAATGGCGATCAAAACGAGGAGACGTGATTGGGGCCGCTAAACTGGAGGGGAGAGACAGCATTTGTGACCTTTTTGTTCAAAATTAGACACCCCTTCAAGAGGGGACAATATCGTGCACGGGCGCGGTGCGAGTTTAGTGTTGGTGGCTTGTGTGCTGGAGGTTCACACGCTATTGTCTTTTACGCGTTAAAGCGTGTTTGCAGAGCGCAATCACAAGATGTGGGCATACTCTAAGACTAAGCGTCCAGGGAGCTGGAGCTCCGGAGAAAAGGGGAATCTTGTCACACACCCTGGAAGTTTCTCCACGCCCCATCAAAGGCTTTGTCCCTTTTCGAAAAAAGACGTGCATCGTCATCACAATTGCCTCGTATTTTGGAATAGCGCCGATTTTGTGCATGTTTGGAAAATGCGGAATTTTTTGGTTGAAAATTTCCCGACTCAATTCCTCAATTCACATATGGGAACATGCATTGATGGTGTAGACGACGACGTAATCTGGTACGATTCGCACACGCGCCTTCGATATGGTCGACCTACGATACAGGGAGGAAAGGGTCTTAGAGGGAATTCGTCACGCACTACAGTAATCCCATTGCAAGACGGCGCACGCGCTCGGCGAATTTGATACGCTTAGAATTCGTTCTGAACCGGCAATCGCCGCTGTAAGGTTTGTCGGCGCGGGTGGTTTGTGTATCCGGAGCTGGACCTGTCTAGTTTGTAATGCTAAATATTTGGATATTTGAGAATTTGAAATCCTGTCCCATCTATGCTGCTCAGATGTGAAGTTATGAAAACTTCTTTTAAGGAAATTCGGTCATAATCGCGGTTTCTCCAAATTGTTCCCTAACTGAAATGAGTTTCTGATTATCTGACGGGGAAGGGCCAACGTACTGCAGTTGTCAGTACACTTTGACCACTTTATCTTGGGGGTACTGCTAAAGTTGTTTTAACGGCCTGAGATTGGTCGCCACGTTGACGCAGTTCTGCATGTCCTAACCGCTGTCCTCGCTGACAAGTTCCTTCGAGATTTGCGTGCGGTAATCGTCCGCCCCGAAACGATGTCGCGTGATATACGGTAGGCTGATAAGCGGATCAACTAGCGGGGCTTAGAGTATTGTCTATACGGCGCACAGAACCGGACGACGGCGTACTCGTTTCGGCAGAAGTTGACATAGGTTCTGACGAAGAGGGAGCGCAGCGAGGGTAGTCAGCCGATGAATTCCACTCAACAGGCTAAAACGGTGCTCAGGTTTCCGTCTGAATGAAATGCGATCCGCTGTGTTTGGCCCGATTATGGTCAAACCCCTGTTCTCGCCGGTGGCCCATGCCGAATTCGGCCATCTAATCAAACAATTCGTACTCAAGGCCGCGTCACATATAGAGAGCACCGCCGGATTCGATTACATACACATATATGGACAGCCTTGCCTTGACGTAGCGCTCAACCTGAGGCCAGGTCGCCGCGATTTCAACGAAACAGGTGTTGAACGCTCTTAGCCTTGTCAACCTAGGACGCTTCAGGGTTGGTAATTGTACAATGGGAAAAGAAACGTCGTACCGTAGTCCGCATTCGGTGCCAGCAAGAGTGGGGTCTTGTTGCAGGGCTGCTTACTCCAGCAGTTCAACGGTTTTTGTAGTTATTTCTGGACCGGTCATCAGTAGTGCAACAACCCTAACCCAACTCTCCTGGCTATGAAATTTAATAGAAAATTTCGATTTTTTATCGAAAAGGCTGCGCTTTGAAAGCAGTCACACGAATCCTTTGCCCAAACAACTAATCAATATCTATTGAAAACATACACGCTGGGCCTAAATTACACCAAGAAAACAGCATTACTTTTGATCGTTCTTATTTTTACTCTTGAAGCTTTATGCACTCCGCTTGCGATATTTTTGAAATTCTCAATTTTTAGAGAATTCTACTACATTCAAATGGACAAATTCGCTCGTCAAGCACTGGCCGAGGGCATTACGTCACGTGATGATATCGTAGTCACAATGGAGTCTGAGATATTCCGTACTTTAAATCAACATTACAATAGAAACAATCATGTTCAGGTATGTAAACGGACCCAAATAGTGTTCTTCCTTTAAAAGACGGTAGTTTTACTACGATCTGTGTCGTTTTAGCCTCCCGAAAACTTGGTGAATGTCGTGCAAGAATCGTTACGTGAGTTCTTTGATGCGATTCGCCTTGGAAAAGATGCTGAACCGTCGTGGAAAAAACAAATTTACAAAGTGAGTTTTCATCCTTACTTACTCGATCAAGCGGTGCTGAAAGTTTGTACAGACAAATATCTGAAATCGCAAAGGTGGCAAAGGTGAACATATTAAGGGCGAGACTGAGCAATTCTGAGCAGTGCGTGTTGAGAAGCTCTAGGGGAGGGGAGGGGGAGGGAGTACAGTAGTTACTGTCATGACTGCAAAGCAGCAAAGGCGAAGAGAAGCGATCGCGTACTTGAATGAGAGGCACAATCAAGAAAACGGTGTCCAGAACCGCCTGCTCTGGCGATGGACTCCAGTAGTGTACTTAAAGCGAGTTCGAGTGAGTCTGAATCGCAAGTTCTCAGGAAC